AAGTGTGGGGGGGGGGGAGGGGGCAGCCGGGGAATGGAGTATGGCATTGCCGTGCGTGGTGTCTCTACAGATCCAAACCAAACTCGAGACAAACGTTGGCAATCACCAATAACTTTTGTTTGGTGGAACTCACGAAGCATTTAAGGATGCATCACGAACACTGCCACAAGCAACAAAGTGACGTACAGTAGGTGTCGCTTAGCTTTCAAGGCCAAAAGAACCACCGACACGCCCCAGTCAACCACATACACCCGCCGACAACAAACACTTAAGCGTGCACCGCCACCTTCTGCATCCGTCTCGAGGAAGAGTAGTCCGGCTTCACCAGAAACAGCTCCGGCTCCAGCTCCCCCGGCTTGAAGACCTTGCAGTTGTCGAACGTCACCGCGGCGTACACCCCGAGGTAGAGCGGGAGGGACACCTTGGCCGGGAACCCCGCCTCCCGCATGCCCTTCGTCGTCAAAACCTCCTTAAGCTTGTGGATGACCTTGTCCTGTTGAGGAAAAAAAAAAAAAAGAGAGAATTGTGTGTGGAGATACAGCTCAGTTGCTACATTTTCCTCAGTCGACAGAGGTGTAGGGTGTGTTGTTGTGGGGATACAGCTCAGTTGCTGTAATTTCCTCCTCCGTCGATTGTCGCTGGTGCATAGTTCAAGAAGGGAGCGTCAAGTCGGCTCCTTCTTGACAAAACTAGACCCAGAGTTCACTTTTCGAAGAGATCGGTGTCTGCCCTCGCAGCGCAAGAGCGGTCGCCTTCAAATCACATATTGCCCTGTACTGACGTTCGGGTAGCACAGGCACTGAGCACTGAGACGGTCTGTATCTTGGGTCTTGGGCGTGAGCGTAATCCCAAGTGACCCTAACCCCAACTTGCTAACCCTAACCCCAACCTGCTAACCCTAACCCTAACCCCAACGCTTAAACGCGGGCCTTCGTCCAACGAAAAACATGCGGTTTACGGCCTAATTTACATGTTGGACGCGGACGACGCTCATCTTTTTAATCAATGAAAATACTTCAATTATCTGTATACGAGCCTTGTAGGTCATTTAGATTCACTTTTAGTATACTTCGCCATAAAAGATTTTAGAGAGGCTTCTAAGGCCTTCCGTCTGGACTGGACCATACCTGCACTAGCATCTAGGATGCTGTGCGTAAGCACAGCAACAAAAACGCGTGCAGAAAACAGAACTTGGCACTGTATTCCTTCGAGAGGGCAGGCGACACTTTTTCTTTGACAATGCATACACGACACAGGGACAGATGAGCAACAGGCTGCACCTACCCATGCTTGGTGCCCGAACCCACATAGACATGCACGCACACCGAAGCATTTCTGTTTTCAACAGCACTGAGACTGACAAATTTTCATTGGTCAGCCGGTCAGCGCCGTCAATGCTAGTAGTAAAAACAAACACACAGAGAGACGAACCTGCATAGACAAGACCTCCAGCATAGGAGTCACGTGCTCGAGCGTGAGGGGGAAGTCCTGGCTCATCCACATGCTCGCCTTGATCTGGATAAACAAAAACGATAACAACGACGACGACGACGTTAGCAACAAGTAGGCCACCGGTTTGGACGCACGTCAACACCAACCAACATTTCCCAAACAAGTTGGACGGACAAGGTACGACGCGAATATCGACATCGTCCCGCGAACCAAACAGCACAGCCTCTGCTGGGTATCAGCACCCACGTGCCGCGACAAGAAGCAGCCTGGGGGAGGGGGGCACGCAAATACGAAATGACATTTCTTGCTTTCTGCGCACCTCTTCCCCGTCACAAGGCATCATCGGTAGAGAGACAAGACCCAAGGTAGGAGGCGCTGCCCAGCCATCAACAGACGCCACAACACTACCCCTCACACCACCAACAACACCAACACCAACAACAACAACAACAAAAATAACCACGAACACACACGAACCTTCTTCTCGAAGCGCTTGTGGGGCGTGTTCAGCTTGGCCAGCATCTTGGCCTTCTGGCTCTGCGCGGACCGTTCCCCGAAGTTGAAGAGCGATCCGGGACCCGACGAAGGCGTCGCGGCAACCCCGGACCCCTCACCACCATTGCCTCCAGCTCGCATCACCTTCTCCTCCAAGGTCTGCCGCACGTCGAAGTAGTTCTACACGACGGCGAAAGACAGAGAGAGAAGAGACATCGTGGAATTAATTGGGGGAAAGTATTTCATCCCGATCGTGCATATTGTACGACAAAATACACCATGTCACACCGAGTAGGGGTGGGGAGTGTTCTCAGGTAAACGCATGCCGTGTGCGCTGCACCATTGCTGGAGTGATTTTCGCCGGCTCAGGCTACATTTCATGAAGGATGAACCACAAGCTGGTCACTACTAGACCATTGACCTCGCATCTCTAGAATGCCGGGCCGGAGCGATATATCGGGGTTTTGGCCGGCCCAGGCTACGTTTAACAACGACGAACCAGAACATCATCCTTGCGTAGGCGGGGCATCGTGGAATGAAATGGGGCAAGGTAACTCATCCTGATCGCCAAATCTTTTACGACACATGTACCAGTGCAGCCGCGGGCACTCAACATCAACGCAGCATCGAAACGACGAAGCAAAAACAAATGCAGCCCATTTTCCCCGATAAAAAAGTTTAACCATCCAACAGACACAATGCCGGAATAAGGCGGAGGGAGAGATGACACCCCCCCCTAGACCGATGTTCAACACTATATTGCCTCTCCACAACGAAGCTTGTTTCAACATCAAAAATGTTGGTTCTGGAAACATCTCGTCGAGGGCTTTCCGTAGACGTATGCATATCTGGCTCTTTTCCGCACCTAGTTGGTGGTGGAGCAATCGAGCTTTGAAAGTTGCTCCGTGCCATCTATCCGCCTCTTACGGTATGATATACCCGCACCAGACACACGTACGTACCTTCATGGAGAGACCGGAGAGCAGGTTGTCCCCGGCCCCCTTGCGGAACGCCTGCAGCTGCATGTCTCCCGTGCACTCGTACATCTCGCACGCCCACGGCCCCACGGTGCCGGTCTTGAGCTTGCCAGAGTAGTCCTTTACGGGCTTGAAGTTTAGCGCACTCGATTTGATCACGTACGCATCGACCTTCGAGATTTAATGGGGACGGGCGGGGTTGATGTTGACCAGTCTATACAACCACGCATGTATTCTATGTCAATCTTAATATCTACCCTGACTTGTACCGGAATAGGGGCTATAGCTCTGCCGAGCTTTTGATCACGTGCGCATCCAAACCTCAAGACACAGAAGCAGGCAACAACAACCGTTGCCTTCGATTGTATGGGATGTAAATCTCCGTGACTGAATACGCCTCAGCCACCAGGCCGTACAATACCCGCAACACACAGCAGCAGCAGCCAGTAGTGATCGTCGTCGACAGCAAGAAGCACAAAAAAAGCTCAAGCCAGCAGCCGGGCTTTGCTTCCTCCTCTTCCCTCTCACCTGGCTGGCCGGCCGCTTCGATTGCCCCGGGGACAGGTAGCGCCTGCAGGTCCGCCGGACCTCCGACGGCGTCGGGCTCTCCAGCCGCCGCAGCACGTTGTAGATCTACGGAGATCGGGTCGTCATCGTCGAGGTGGCGATGTGTGCAAGAAAGCAATGGGGAGACGGCCAAAGGGCGTTCGTCAGGCAAACTGAAGGCAGTGGCGATGTTTGTAAAATAGGAAGTCAGATGGGGAGTCGGATTATTGCGTCACAAACGACGTCCATTATATTTAGTTTACCTGTTTGGGGTAAGTTAACCCCTTTGGGTCTAGGCTGGACTGTCAGATTTTTTTTTTGCGCCAAAAAAAAAAAATGAGAGCGAGAGCGAGCGGGAGAGAAGCGCAAAGAAAGACACCAGTGTACTTCTGCACACGCAACAGCTATCTCCACCTGTAGGCCATGAGGGAAGCCGGCGACAGGGTGGTGGCCACAGACAGGGTCGTAGAAGGGTTGATGGGTGGTCGCGCTGCGGTCAGTAGGGCAGGTTAGCTGTGTAGACTTTGAAATTATCAGTCGTCTAGCTGCCTCAACTAGTCTATTTTCGGTATATTGGAAATGATCAGTCCAGAGAGGGCAAAATGATCAGTGAAGACCCATAGCTGGTATTTGTACTTCTGTACTTCTCTGTTCTCTGTCCCCCCCCGAAATGTGCCCTGCCAGCTCTCTAGAGCTCCTGTATTTTTCAAACAAGCACATCCACCCGCACACACCCGTGCCTCGTGGGTTCCTAGGTTTGGGCGAGGGTGGTATGTGTGGCGCTACGAGTGTGGATGTGTTGCTGACATGTTTTACTCGTCTACGGCAGTAGTAGTAGTGTTGTTGTAGCATTCGTTGTAGCTGCTGACACAATGACTGCTGGATCTTGGGAACGATTTTCAAATTGTTGGGAACCACGATATCCTCGATATCTGGGCTCCGGCAGGGCTTGCAATACCCCTCCCTTTTGCTGCCCTCTGCTCTTTGCAGCAGTGGCTTCCTACGTTCGGGCGAATGTATGTGTGGTGCTGCGAAAGAACACATATGTATGTATGTATGTATGTATGTATGTATGCACACACGCGTTCATGTACATACGTTGAGAGATTCATGATTTGGCATATTGATTGGCCCCATTCCCGAGACCTTGATACTACCCGCTGTCACTGACATCTCTTCATTGGTCAGCTGGTTAGCGCGGGTGCCAATAATCTAGACACACCTACCTATGGACTTGCCAATACACGGCGCGAAGGGCTGCAGGGCGGCAACTCCACGACTTGCCACTACACCAGCATTTGCAAATAATCAATCAATGATCAGTGAGAACGCCTGAAGACTAAAAAAGGTTAAGCCCGTGACCGCGTCAAGTGTTTGACTAGTACGGACAGAAGAAGGTACCGGGTAGAGAGGACGAAACGGTTCTTGATGTGAAGATAACAACAACAACAACAACAACAACAACAACAACAACAAACGAGGGTAAAAGGGCGTCAGTCAGACGAAAGACAAGACTGAAGTCGCTCTTGTCGTCCCAACGTCCCAACGGGTGCCCAGCGTTTTGATACCATAAACTGTACCAGTAGGTATTTTTCTACCACGGCAGCGGCAGTACGCCTCGCTTTGAGCCGATTCGCGAAAACCCTCGAAAAAAGACAGCCAACAACATCAACAACAACAACAACGACTAACGGTGTTGTTGTTGTTGTTGTTGTTGTTGTTGTCTTCACATTAAAAACCGTTCCGATCTCTCTCTACCCAGTACCTTCGTATATGTAACGGTGTGAAAAAGAGGGAATCGTCCTCCACAGACAGACGCTGGAATAAAGGGGATGGGGATCTCCGCGATGGGATCAAGACAAATACGCATACAATGTAACAACAACAACAGCTGCCGTTTGTATCACGTGTAAAAAAAAAAAAAAAAAATGGCATACCTTCCTCTTGCCGTGATCGAGCTTGATAAGAGTTCCCGGGGCAGGGCTATCGTTGCCAAGGAACAGCAGCGACACCTTCCCACGCTGGGTCTTGAGCCGCTTCGTGTACCCTGGTTTGGAATGGTTCGGACGAGGGCCGGGAGACAAATGGAGGGGGGGGGGGGGGGGGGGGGGGGGAAAGATTGTGTTACTTTTTTTAAATTTCATGTTAAGTTCCCTTTCCATACTTCTTATGTTCTTGTGAGGAAAGAAAGATAAAACATGTTTAATCTTTGATTTTATGACATTGCTTTCAGCAAGCTAATGTTAAGTGTGTTAAGACTT